AGAAGAAAGCATGAAATGTCGAAGGTCATAACAAAGTGAAATCAATTAATCAATACATATGTACTGAGTACCTCCAATACACTCAGCAATGTGCCAGGAGCTATTTATGGTCAGTGGAAACAGAGTAAGTAACAGGGGAAATCTAAATTTCAAGGAATTTAAAACAAAGCAATAAAAGACAATAATTAAGGCTTCAAGTCAATCCAACAATTATCCATTAAACTACTGTGCATTATATTAAAACAGGCTCTTCTGTAAGCTCTGTGGTGGTTACTGAAATGAGTAAAACTAGTTCCCGCCTTCAAGGGACTTACAGTCTAGAAATGGTGAGTTTGGAGAAGAGGAGATATTAATGAGTTGGAAAAATCAGGACAGATATTTTTGAAGAAAAGAGTATGTGGTCTTAAAGGAGTTAGTTTAATTTTTTTTTATTATTGTTTTTAATAAAGACTTAAAACTTCTATCTGACTAGAGTACCTATGAAAGAAAAGGTATTGCTATCCAGAAGATATAAAACCTCCTAGGAAAAAAATAATAAAAATCCAGAAGAACCAATAGGAAAACAGAGAAAGCCTATGACAGACAGCCATACTCAGTTATACTTGTATACTCAAAAGACTACAAATTGCCAATAAACACTTGAAAAAATGCCCAACCTCACTAACAATCAGGGAAGTACAAATAACAACAAGGCAAATATTTTTCATCCAACCAATTAGAAAAAGATTTAAAGATTGATAGTGCCTGTTGTTGGAAATGTTGCAGAGAATTAGGTATTCGCAAAAAACAGTTGGCAGAGTATAAAATAATTTTGAGAGCAATTTGCTTGTACCTATCAAATTTTTAAATTGCCAGTTCCCTGTAATTCAGACGATCCACTTCTAACAATCTACCCAAAGAAACAGCTGAAACTTTGCAGAAAGTGTGCATTTGTTGCAAATTGTTTTAATCACAAAACATTTTGAAAAGCCCATCATGACTGCAGAGGCATGGTTAAAACATATTCAATAAAATATATTTTATTTCATTCAATAAAATTCTCTGCAGGAGCTAAAAGAAATGAGCGAGATCTCTTTGTACTGACTGAGAAAGTTCTCCAAGACAGTGGAAAAATCAAATTGCAAAACAATGTGTATTACGTGGTTCCTTTTAAATTAGAATGTATATGTATAAACCTATGAATATATGTACATTTGTGTGTGGATAGATGAATGCAAGGACCAAGAACGGGAGGATTCTCTTATAACTATTAATACCAGTTACCTTTGGAAGGAGGAGTGGAATTAGGGGTTATGATAGATGGGAATTTTCACATTTTACTCTCTGTACAAATACATGTCTTAAGTGGTTTGCACTGAGAATATATTCATGCAGTATTTATGCACTTTAAAAAATAAACAAAGGAGAGGTATTTAAAAGAAAGTAGAATTAATATGATTGAGTGCTAGCTGAGAAATTTAATGAGTTTGTTTGCATGGGATGGTGACGCATCTCATCTAACTAGGGCCGAGGATGCATCTACAGTAGAAACGAGAATTAAAGTTTAATAAGAGACAAATGGGACTAAATTAAAGAGAAACTTGGAACTAGAAAGAGCCGTTCAGGTTTCACACTATAGCTTTGATATTAGTTAAGTTCATTAAGATTGCTAGAAAGTGCCCTAAAACCTCCACACGACCACTGTGCTGCCCCATCTGACCTTAGGTTAGGGGTGGGGTAAGGATTAAATTCAGATGAATTTCATATCAAGCCACCTAAAATTCTCCATTTTCAAGGTTGACTTTGGTTTGCCCCTACTTTGATTGCTAGGCCAATCAGATGAGGTCAAGATAGCAGGATTAGTATCTCTCAAAGCAAAACTACTAGCTGCTTTGTGACAAACTGCCCAAATCCACTTGTTTTAGAAGAGGCCAGCTGGGGCTAGCAGAGATTTTGAATTGGGTGGATTCCTTTCCATTATAGAACAATTGCAAGAAGTTATAGAAATCTAATGATTGACAAGAGCTTTGAGATTGCCTTCCTTCCAGTGGCTTCCCATTTCTCTCAAACTAAATTTCACTTCCCCACTCTGGCTTAAAGGCCCTTGGTGACCCCTTCCCATAGCGACCCCTCCGACACAACCTCTCCCTTTTTCACTCTGATTCTACCACAAATGATCACAGCGCTGTTTCCAAGGTCGACCAAGCCTGCTGGGCATTCCCACAGCATTTGCTACTGATAACACCATCACCTATTTGGGAAAGAGGGCTGCTCTCTTTGCTAATCCTGTCTCCCACCCTCTTTTCTTAATCCCCATGGAATAGCAGAGGTCAGGCTTTTACTAAGACTTTACTGAGGGCTGGGATTCATTTGGGAAAGGAAGTTCGATGCAGGAAAGAGAAATATAACTGCTACTAGAAGAGGCTATTTTGAGAGCCCATAGCCTCCAGGCATCCCTCAGAATCCATTATGGGGCTTCTTGTTGGCTTGAGTCCTGGCCTGCTGCCATTAGTGGGGCCAGTTTACTCAGCAGTGAGACTTCTGAACATTCATCTTCCTTAAAGTTCAGTTCAACTGCTGAAAGGTTTGGAGAGAGGAAAAGGTTCATTGCCATCTAGTCCCACCTTAGACAAGCTAATTAACCCTTTTGTGCCTCAGTCTCCTCTTTTGTAAAATGTGCAGAATAATAGGACAGCTTCCATATAGGGTTATTGTGAATTAAATGAGTTAATATATGTAAAGCATTTAGAGCAGTGTCAGGCTGCACTACTAAGTTCTGGATGAGTGTGAGTTATTAATACCCACATCACACCATTGAACTTAATGCCACATTTCCATTACCTTACACTTCTGCAGTTGAGGCTTTTAGCATAGGTGAGGAATTTACTTTTTTTTTCTAGTAAATCCTCTCTGTTGTCTTGGGATCATTTTTCTAAACCAGTGGGACTTTTTTTGGCTAGACTCTATCATCCAACACATAGAGTATTATATCCAATTACTACGGCATACCACAGATGTTCTCTCTCATCAAGAATAATGATTTTTTTTTTTTAACAAAGTGATTAAGGGCCTGTATGCACTATGTTCCTGAATGCATGCGAGTGTGTGTGTTTGCACAGAAGTGTTTAAGGCAGGGATATAACCTCTTCCTCATCTCAAAGGTACATAAAGTTTTTAATAAGACCACGGATAATCTAAATGTTTAAATAGGAGTCTGAGATGAGTCAGGGTAAACGGGATGCTGGCTATGAGCAGAGTTTGAAAGCATCATGCCATAAAGATCTAGCATAGGAACATTGATGCCTTGGCAGTTTTTATGAGAGAAACTTATCTTGTAGAAATGCATACTAGATAGAAAAGTTAGTTTTTAAATTTTTTATTATCCCTTAAAATTTAAAAATATTTAAACGTATCACACCTTAAGGGCATGAACAGAGTGAGGTTAGCTTTGTTTAACCAAAACAGGGCAGCCTGTGAAGCTTGAAGAAAAAATCAAATGTAGGACAAATCACAAGGCCTATTTTATGGAGTGAGTGGTAAGCCAGGAGGTGAGCCAGACCAAAAACATTTGGTACCTTTAAAACTATTTCAAATTTACTTTGGGAATGCAAGCTTGATGGATAGACAACTATAAAATAAATTCTTGTGAGTTAACAGATTTTAAGTTTTTAGAGACGTTAGGGTACAGAATGGAAGGAGGAAGTACGCATGATACCCAGTGTTATGTGGAAGAGAAGAAAGTGCTTTTGGTAGCCAGGGGGCCTACACAAAGCAGCATATTCAGGAAGGACTTGAACCCGTCCTGCCCTAGTCAGGAAGCATTTCAAGAAGGATGTGAGCAGATGTACCGTGACTGTGCCTCTACTACATCAAAGACTGCAGTGGTCCAGGTAATGCAGAGGAATGTTTCCTCCTATAATGCACAACGAATGTGATGTATTCCAGGGCGTACCACAAATCATTTCGTGTTTTCTTTCTGCAAGATAGAGGAGTTGGAGCATATAATTTCTCATTGCTTTTGTCTCTCTAGAATCTTAAGAATCCATCAGGGATCACGGTCATTCCTAATTCTCCTAAAGACATTGTCACTGTCAGTATTAGAACTGTACAGATTAAGGGTCTGAGCCAGTTTGACAACTCTTGGGTACTTATACTGATAAAGAAGCAGACTGAAGCTGGAGTATCCATAAAGAGGTTAAAGGGACGACCATTCATGCATTCAGCCAACATTTCAGCCTCGCTCCTATATTCCAGGCACTGTATTAGGCACTGGGGATGCAGAACCAAGTGAGGCGTGGTCTGCTCAGGGAAGCAGTCTCAGTGGAGAAAAGATCAACAAGCAAAGCGCTGTTAGAGGCCTGTCCTAGGGCATATGGCAGTATAGAGGCAGGGCAGCTACATCAGCCCAAGGTGTTCTTAGGCAGAACAGAAAGTGAGGCTCAGAGCAGTATCTCATTTCTAAACAAGACAACAGGATTGTAGAAGCTTTCCCTTGATTGGCGAAAAAGTGGCTTTTTAAAACAAGCCAAACAGATATCCATCCTTTAGGGAGACCCTGGCACGTGCCAGATGATTCTGCCAATTTTTCATGGACGGAAACACAGAGCAGGGAAGAACTGGTGAGTCTCTGCAAGTAGAAGTCCCTCAAAAGGGTCTGTGTTTCCTAAACGGCGCTCCAAAGGGACTGAACTACTTCCATCCGGGAGAAAAAGACCCTGGCAGTCAGGGCACGGGAGGGTGTACGTCTGGAGGCAATTCAAGGCTTTTTCCATCTTGCCTGATGTGGCAACAAGGAAAGATTTGTTCGTTTTATTTATTTATTTTCCATTTTGAACGCTTTTGCTTTTCCCTTCTTCCCCCCTCCCAGCCACTCGGGTTTGGGTTTTCCATATGACTCATAATTCCTTCCGAAAGTGGAGTCGAATTCATAAAAGTGGTGGTGCGCGGGGGGGGGGGGGGGGGGGGGGGCGGGGGGGGGGGGGGGGGCTGGGAGCCCCAGGGAGTCTTCACTACCGACATTCCCAGCCCCCGGCGCGAGCGGCGGCCGGGCTGGGGAATCCAGCCTGCGCTCGGATGGCGGATACTATCAGAGCCCCGGCGGCCGGGACCGGGTGACTTCGCGGCGGGCGCGGGAGGGTCTGCGGCGGGCGACGCTGCAGCAGCCTCGGCACGGTCGCCGCGCCCCCGGGCGGGAGTGTGCGCGGGTGTGGAAGGCCGGCGTGCGGGCCGCGAGGGGTGTGCGCGCGTGAGGCGGAGCGGGGCTCGCCCCTCGCCGGCGCCCGCCGCCCCGCGGGCGATCGCTCTCTCGCCGTCTCCGGGACCCCCGGACCCCCACGGCCTTTGGTCCGGGCGGGGGAGGGAGAAAGTGAGACTCTGTGTCATCATCATCCATTGTGAGGAGGGGAAGAAATTGGAATCCAGCAGCGGCGAGCAGCAGCTGGGCGGTCACATCTGGGAATGCAAAGCCGACCTCCCCCCCCCTCCTCCTCCACCACCTCCTCCTCTCTCACCCAGGATCACTTCCGAAACCACTTCGCCTTCAGCCCCTGCCTCGGCCAGAGGTTTCATTTTTAACTGAATATTTACGAAAGCTGGAAGCGTGCGAGGGGGTGGGGTGGGGTGGAAATAGCGGCTGCTTCTTTTCCAGGGATTTATTTAATGGGGATGTGTTCAAGGCAAGAGCGAATTCAGAAGGATATCGACGTCGTGATCCAGAAGTCCAGAGCTGAGAAGGACTGCCTGTTTGCAGGTGAGTTCTCGCCTTTCCAGAGCCTCGGACCCAGCGCCAGCTTCCTCTGCCTGCCCGTCACCCCCTTTCCCAGTTTTCTGGCCGCGACGTGTGTGGCTGGGGATAGGGGGTGGGTTGCACGTTCTCATTCCCGGGGTCATTTGGCAACAGCTGCGGGAGCGGGAGCCAAAAGGGGGAGGGGGTGCCAGCCTCTCCCCTTCTCCCCTCCCCCCTCTGGGGCGGCCACTAGCTTCGGGGGCAGAACCCTGATGGCCCGAGCGGGGGTCTAGGCGGGGGAGTCTTGCATTGTATTTTTAGTCCCCGGTGGACGCCCGGAGCGTCCGAGCCCGCCTCCGGGGTTTCAGCAGCAGCGACCCAGGCAGCGGGTTGGACTCGCCGGGTTTGCGCAATGGGCAGAGCAGCGGCGGCGGCTGCCGGGAATGGAGCCCGCTGCGCTGCGCGGCGGTGGCCGGCTGCGCCCGGCACCGAGGCCCCCCGTGGGGCAGCGCTGGGCCGATCTCCCGCCCCTTCTGCTCCCTCTAGTACCTCCGACTGGCAGTGCGATGCCCCGGAAAGAAAAGGGATTCCCGAGGTTCCGAGGCGCGCGCCGCCCCTGCCTGGGGGTCGCCTTTCGTCCATTTTGCTACCCCGGGAGAGGGACTGGATTTTGCTTTCGCAGCCGCGACCTCGGCTGGGGCCGCTTCCGGCTGTCCGGACCGGGAAATTCCCGCCGTTGCCATGGCACCCGGCACTTGTTGCGGGGGGCGGCCTCCCGCGGCACCCGGCACGGGGTGCGCGGCATCCCCTCCCGCACCACTCGGAGAGCGGACCTAGGGGCTCTCCAGCTCTGGCCTCCCGCCCTGCCCCGCCCCGCCAGGTTTCCCTTCGGCTCCATCAAATAGGGGGCCCGAGCCATGACCGGGGTTAAAAATCCACTCCAGGGGTAGCTTTTAACAAGACTTTTCGTTTCAGATTTCAGATACTCAGACTCCACCTTTACTTTCACCTACGTTGGCGGCCCCAAAAGGTACTTATGTGTAGAGTTGCTTCATTTCCTGTTCACAGGCTTGTGTTTCCTTTGTTCTTAGCGTGTTCCGTGTTCCGGTATTTTTTCTTCTTATTCTTATTCTTATTCTCTTGTTGTCTTTTAGCCACGTCCCAAGCCTGAGGTCCCTCGATTTTAAATAGCAGAGGGGAAAGAAATATGTTTGATTCAAGTGTTTCTAAGATCACGCCACGGGCTATGAACAGAGCTCTCACACTCCTCGTGTTAAAGCTGTTCTACAGTAGTAGCTAGCTCTTGAGGCTTTAGGGGTTGACATAGGCGAGTGCAAAACCTGAATACTGAGTATAAGACATAACATGTCACAGAATAGTTTGATCACATGTGGTGATTCTTCTGGTGAGCTGGGGCTGCATGTTTCCATGTTTTCTGAAGGTTGACATAAACATGCAGTGTGCCAATTCTCCATGCTTTTTTTTTTTTTTTAAGGAGTCCTATTTTGGTGTTCATAGTTGGAAAGAATTTGGGAGTTATATGTAGCTGGAGTGTATAACTTCTTTCTTGAAGAGGAAGAATGAGAGGTGCATATATTAATACTAAGTTGTTAACAGTATGAAAGAAGCCCAAATCCAATTTTGTGTTTAAAGAATTAGAGATGAAATGAAAAGTAATCGTTAAAATATGCTTTGCTGTCTTCACTTGTTGAGGTAGAATTTTCTCCCTGTTAGCCCTTTGGGGACACAGTGGTTTAAAAGAGCAGTGGCCACATATGAGAACTGTCAGAGTTTTAACCTTGCTGTTCGGACTTGACATTCACTACCATTTGATCATATTCCAAAATATGTCTTAGCTAATGGAAACATTTATGAACATATAAATTGCAAAAGAAGCTTTCTTCTGTAAATAAATTTTTTACAAGCTTGAAATTGTTACGAATCTTAAAAATGCTTAGGATCTGTGTTGCAATGTACATCTCAAAAAAGCTTTCATTGAAATAGTTATTCAGGTTTCCCATATGCACAGTACACCTAAGTGTCAGGATTGGTATATTGATTTGATTTACTGGTTGAAAATATAACATATGGACTTATTGGGGGAGAATAAAATTACAGTATTTCTCAATTTCCTATAGTACCATCATTTTTGAATAAAAAGAATCAATTAGAAGAGATTCAACTAAATTAACGCTGCTCCTACACTTGCTATCCAGAGAATGTTGGTGTATGACTAATAATCTCTAGAGTTGTTTTAATAGTTAAAATATGCTGTGTGGCCCACTGAAAACATTCCCCATGCAGTCAGGTTGATACCTGCTTGAGTTGTCTGTTTCACAATTGTGGTTCATCTCATGAGAGGTGCGGACTGGGAAAGCCCTGGGTAGGCTTTTTAACTAACTAGCTTTACTATTTCCAATAAGATAGTAGAGTTGTTTTGGCCTCAGTTTACTTGTCTGTACAAGGGAAAGCCCTGGGTAGGCTTTTTAACTAACTAGCTTTACTATTTCCAATAAGATAGTAGAGTTGTTTTGGCCACAGTTTACTTATCTGCACAAGGAGGGGGTGAACCTTACACTTAATCTCTAAGATCTGTTAGATACTGCACTAAGATTGTTTATCAGCAAATTACTGAACTAGTGTCCACACAACAAGAGGTGAAGGTATGAACGCCTCCAGGAGCAAGGCCTGGAGGTTGGGATGAATAATTAACTGATTGAGATAACGTCAGTTTTCACTGTAGGAACAAGTTTCCTTTTCTATGTTATCCTACTAAGAGATAGTTTTTTCCTTTGGTTCCTGATTTCAATAATGGGGAACTTGCATATCTAACGTGGAACAGTCTGCTTTTCAAAGATGTGTTGTGAATTGTTGATGTGATTGCTTTGTCTTCCCAAAAGCTTGTTCTATAAACCAATATATAAAAGATTGTTTTGGTACAGTAATAATAGTACCCTTAATGATTATCCCTTTATGGGTTTGTAGCTAATGGCAGAAAATAAATTTTCCGAAAGAAAAAATATTGTTTTCATGAACTACATTATCTACATTAGAATCTGATATTTATTATGTATTTCTCATTGCTGTGTGTCAGTCGGGCATTTAAAAATCAAATAATCCTCCTCTGTTTTGATTTAATATGCTTATCAACTTGTAATATTCAATTAATAGTGTCATGTCGGGAAAACTAGACTTATTTCCGGATTAAAGGAAGTTGGGGGTCTTATGGAGAGATAGTACATGTTTATCTTGAATTATATTGTACTATCATTTCATCTAAACCATTGAAAACATTTATTTTTGAGAAATGATTTTTGAGAATAATTTTCAATTCAAGTTGTAGTTAAAACAATCTGCTCTTTTGTGTCTGACACTCTCCAAGAACAATTACACTTTGTTCTAGGACAAAAGTTGATCTTACATGTTACCCTTCAAAAAAAGAAATAATATTGAGAATTTTTTTTAAATGTAAATTTGTGTTTCTGTGGATAAGAGGAAATGCCAAGAGGCCACTGTGACAGGACTGGCTGCTGTCCTAGTAAATTGGCCTGTCATTCAGAGGTTGTGAGAGGGGCAGAGTTCCTTTCGCCATTTGCTCTCCTACCTGGGTGGACTTCAGGTGAGGATTGAGGGGGAGCAGACGGTCAGCTGCAAGACTGGGTTCACTTAGTTCTCCTTCATGGGAAGGTTCATGGAATTATTATTATCCTCAGCTTTGGATTGGATTTGCAAACTGAGGCTCAGAGAGTTTAGAAAACATGCTCAGATTTACTCAGTTACTGATGAAGCTGCCATATGAACCCTGTTATGTCACACTTCTGAGACCTGTGCTCCTTCCTCTACACTAGTGTTCCCAACCTCTTTGAGACCTCTTTGAGACACTCGAACATCAAAAATATTATGCAGATGTTTACTTGAGAGCTGTAGTGTTAGTGTCATTTGATTGAGAAATAATGAGAAAAGTGTTAAATGTTAAGAATTGATGGGCTTCCCTGGTGGCGCAGTGGTTGAGAGTCCGCCTGCCGATGCAGGGGACACGGGTTCGTGCCCCGGTCTGGGAAGATCCCACGTGCCGCGGAGCGGCTGGGCCCGTGAGCCATGGCCGCTGAGCCTGCGCGTCCGGAGCCTGTGCTCCGCAACGGGAGAGGCCACAACAGTGAGAGGCCCGCGTACCGCAAAAAAAAAAAAAAAAAAAAGAATTGGTAATACCATCTACGTATGCTTGAAAACTTGTGTTATACATAGGGCAAGATTGACTCATTGTAGCAATGGTCCTTATAATGCTTCTGACTCCTGGGCTTCTTTGGAAGAACTCCAAAGTCATCAGTGTTCCAGGGCCTGCTGTAGGCTCCTACCGAATGCTGCCCCCCATTTCAGGGGTGTGCTAAGAACTATAAAACCGGAAGCCTCAACTGTATACAATTTGTAAGTTTATGCAAAAGTCATTCCTTCCTTGTACTTTGTCATGCTGTGATCTCCTGCCTCCTTCTTTCTCCTTTTTTGGTTGGCAGTAAACTCCTTTCAGACCACTAAGGTTTGGGGTTATGGTCCTTCATCCCACTTGCAGTCAGTTGTGCAGTTAGTGGTAGAAGAAACAGAAGGGATAAAGTGGGTGGTGACAGCTACTGAGAGGCTGGGGAAGCAGGCTGAGTGTCTGGGGCCAGGAGTTAACAAAGAGAGCAGGGAGAGAGCCCCACATGAGCCTGGCCGTGGACCCCTGTGGGATTCCCTGATTGTGAGCTTTTAGCAAGAAAAGTATTGTGAAGATATAATTGAAGTTTTAAGTGTAGATTGTTAAAAAAAAAAGAAAAAAGATAAGCCAAAAAGAAAAAAATTTTAAAAAACGTGATTTCTCCATCTTCTATTAACATATTAGAATTTATTCTTTCAGAATTTTTATGTCTATATGCATATAAAATGTATGCATCCAAAGACGGTATTATACTCTTGAGACCTCAAGAGTTTTTCACCTAAGAACATGACATGAATGTCTTTCCTTTAGAAAGAATATGAAAATAAAGAAATGTTTATTGAATTAGGATTTTTCCAGTCAAGGAGTGTGCATGATAAGAAATCTAAAATTTATATTAGAAATTATTAATAAATTAGAAATTTAGTATTTAGTGGAATGTTCAGAGTTGCCTGTAAATGTACAAACTGTATTGTATGAATAGACACTTTTTCATGTGGTCATGGGTAGATTGACATCTTTGAAGTGCACTCTTCTCTTTTAGGAGTTTCTGTCCACATAACTGTTTGTGTGACACTAACAGTAGTACTCCACAATCTCTCAAATCACGTGCTACCTCCTCTTTCTCCTGGGCCTTTGCACACCCATCCACATCCTACCCTCCCACCTCTCAACCCTAGTCAGCTTTCCTTGTCGAGATCTTTGCTAACCCAAATTCCCCTCTGAGAAGCCTTTCCTGGCATCCTCTACCCTGTTTGATTTTGTTAGGTGTTTCTAAAATCATGTCACATTGTATTGTTAGCTACTGTTTACTCGATCATCTGTCTGGCCATAAGCCTCTCTGAGGCAGGGTCTGTCTTATTCATTGCAATTTGCCCAGCCCTTCGTGCACTGCCTAGTACTATATATTTTCTCAGTAAGTAGATGTTGAATGAATCACTAAATGAATGCTAAAAGGGCTTCTGGCAGGTGAAAAACAATTTCCTAACCCAAATGACCAGGTGTAGAGATACTCAAATAGTTCAAAAAGCCCCCAATCTGGTGACGTCACTTGGACTGGAATTTCTTATGAATCCAGAAGTTGCTTACCCAAGTTATAAGCCCCGTTCTCTGCCCTGTTCAAATGCTTTCAGGAGACAGATAATGGAATTGCTTAGGATAATAGAGAGTCACAAGGACTGTGGTACACTGGAGAGTTTGGTTTCTAAAAGTATTTAATTCAGTTAAAAAAATCAACACCACTCTGGTTATCAAGCACATCTTCTGGGGACCCTAACCCACCTGGACTCCCAGTGTATAATTCCTTACTCATGGAATGCTATGGAAAGAGAAAATCTACT